CACAAAAAATTAAAATAGGAAGAAAATGATAAAGAGCACAGGTATTATTGAAATAAGAATCAAAAAGTCAAAGCCATTTCTTTGAAAATTGACAAAATTCCAGCAATAGTGATTATAGAAAAAAGAAAAGGATTACTGCTAGAAATAAAAACTGATACAATAGAAAATTTTAAAAAATATAATATTAGGAAAAATTTTATGCTAATATATTTTAAAACAAATAAAATGAATAATTTCCTAAAAACAGAATTTATTGAAACTGACTCATGAAAAAACAGAAGATGCAAACAAATCTTTAATTTCTAAACATTGAATCAGTCATTAAAAGCATACTTTAAAAAGAAACTTCCAGGGCCAGGGAGATGGCTCAGTAGAATAAGCGCTTGCTTGGCAATCCCAACGGCCTGAGTTCAATCCCTGGATCCACCAAAAAAAAAAAAAAAAAAAAAAAAAAAAAAAAAAAAAAAAAAAAAAAATACTAGTAGCTTATCTGTAGGACTGGCAGTGTCAGAAGTTGTTGACTTGAGCCTTCAAAGCTCAGTATATTAATATGGCTATACATTTTATACCTCGTTTTTATACTTTTATGCTGGATGGTTAAGACCAAGATAAAGCAAGACTTATATAACAAGAAATGTAACTTTTGTATCTGCCAAGATCAGTCAAATTCTCTCAGGATTTACCCTGAAACCCTGTACAGCAGTTTGTCGATCTTTTGTCAGTGTCAGCCTTGTAGATGAGTCATGGCCATTGTTTGACCAATTTCCTTTCTGTGAAAGCCTGAGAGAATGTTTTCTCTCCATATGACTCTCCGTAGGCACACTCTGCATTGTCAATCACTTTCCTCTGTGGCCCCATAATCTCCTTGATCAGAAAATTTGGGACACAACTGAATTACAGGATGTTACAGTACAGGTTCTCCTATGTCCTGAGTCCTCACTGACCTTGAAAAGCTAGGGCCAAAATGTTGGCCTTCCCTGCAGCCCTTCTTTTACTATTATGGACTACTGGGCTATATTGGATTATTTTGCTGAATTCACTCACCTACAATATTTAAGTGGCAAGGGAATACCCATCTCTGCCAAAACTAAACAAAAAAAGGGGATACAAATGAAGGACCATTTTGTATCTGTATATACAAAATAGTTAGGATAGATATACAGCTACTTTCTCGTAATTCAATGAGAAAAAACATTTGTACTAAAAGTGTTTGGACAGGATATCATGTCTGCATCTTGTACTATGAAGAACCACTATGAAGACAACAATATGTAATGTATTAATTATTGAAAGTGTCCTATTAATCGGTTTTGAAACTGTTTTATTGTTATTTGTTTCTCAATAAAATTAATAAAAAAAAAGAAACTTCCCAGGCTAGATTATTTTACTGATAATTTCCACCAAACATTCAACTGACAGTTAATTCTTTATACCCAGTATTCAGTAAAAAATAAAAAAAATTTTAAAAAAAGATTTATTCTCACTTCAATTTATAAAGCTAACGAAAGTTGATACTAAAACCAGGAAGACAGAGTACAAAAAAAAAAAAAGGCATTTTTGGTCCAACTTCTATTATGAACATTGACCAAAAATACTTTAGCTTAAGCCAGGAATACATAATAAATGACATTACATCATGACGTAACTAGCTTTACTCCCAGTAGATCAAGGATGGCTTCATGTTCGAAGGTCTAGCAGTGTACTTTACCACATAAACAGATTAAAGAACAAAGATCAATCTTTGAGGTGGAGGTACTTATGCAACTCAATACCCAGTCATGATTCGAAAATGAAAACAGAATCCTTAGTCACTAGGGACACAAGGAATCTTCCTTGCCTGGTATCACTTATTTATCTAAAAGTATTCAACCATAGAATCATTAAATAATTCTCCATAGGGCCAGGGAGATGGCTCAGTAGAACAAGTGCTCACCTGGCAAACACAAGTGTCTGAGTTCAATCCCCAGTTCCACAAAAAAAAAAAAAAAAAAAAACACAGGGTTTTAGATTATGGGGCCACAGCATAACATGATCAATGTCATAGAGTGTGCCTAAGGAGAGTCACAGGGAGAGAAAACATTCTCTCAGGCTTTCACAGAGTGCAAATCGGTCAAGCAATGGTCGTGATTCATCCACATGGCTGACACTGACAAAGGATCTGCAAACTGCAGTACAGGGTTACAGGATAAATTCTGAAGATACCTGACTGACCTTAAGTTACATTTCTTGTTATATAGGTCTTGCTTTATCTTGGTCTTAACTATCCAGTAGAAAAGTATAACAACAAGGTATATAAAGTAAAGCCATATTAATATGCTGAGCTGTGAAAGGCTCAAGTCAACAACTTCTGTGGATAACCCACTGCTATTGTGGACTGCTGGACTGTGTTGGATTGTTTTGCTGAATCTATGCACTTATAGTATTTAGATGCCAGTGGAATACCTATCTCTGACAGGACTAAACAAAAAAGGTGATACAAAGGAAGGACCATTTTGTATCTGTATATGCAGAATAGTTAGGATAGATATACAGCTACTTTTGCTTAATTCAATGAGAAGAAAGATTTGTACTAATAGTGTTTAGACAGGATATTCTATCTGAGTCTTGTACTATGGATAACCACTAAGAAGATAATAATGTACAATGTATTAATTATTGAAACTGTCCTATTAATCAGTTTTGAAAACTGTCTCATTGCTATTTGTTTCTCAATAAAATAAAATAATTCTCCTTAAAGTTAGAAACAGACAATTATACTCATGAGTGTTCAGTATTACACTGGAGGAACTAGACAACACAAAAATAATGTAAAGGAATCAAAATTCCAAAGGAAAAGAAACAATGCCAAAAGTGCTATTAAGTCATCTATGAGCTCACTCAGGTTTCTGAGAAGGCACTGAAGAGTTGAATACCTTTTTAGAACACAATGATTCTAGAGTATCTAGTTTCATTATTTTGGTGACTTTTAGTCTTTTTAAAATTTGCAATAGTATTTCATCCAAAAAGATGCCCTGCCACTGTCTTGCCTTTTACAATGTACCACACCACTGCAGAAACTGAACTCCCGGATGACCAAGAATTCACTTAGGGGTAATTTGCACTGGGGCAAGAAGGATGCATATAGGACTGCTGAAAAACCATAGAATCACCTGATTCCCCACCACTCTGATGAAACCAAATACAATACCAAGATAGCAGAACCGTTACTACTTGAAAAAGCTTTTATTCTTTGCCGTTGTCAGTGTTTCGTTTTTGTTTTTAAAAAGCTACTCTCAAATCTTCTACAGTCTTCTAAGTCTTCTAAAATTCCCATTTCAGCATTTGGTAGGGGAGAGATATTCAATTTTCTCCCTCCTTGATTCTTTAAATGGCATGCTTTTGTGGTTTTTATAAGTATTTTTGTATTATGAGTCACTCTGAGCAGCTGACTGGGAATGTAGAAAGAAGTTGTCTTCTTTTGCTCTTTTGATTAACTGTCTGATTGACCCTGGGCCTATCATTGAACCTAATCAAGTAACTTCATTCATGGCTAAGTAAAGAAGAAAACATGCCTGGAAACATGAGTTAAAATTAGACCCTACCACCTGCTGACTCACTGTCTTAGTAACATACACAAATTAGGTTTTTCCTGTAACACGTCCACTTGGGGAAAAATGGCCTTTATTACTTTTGTTTAGTTGGAGTCCATTGACATCTATCTTACCCCTAATTACTTTTCCACTGGTCTATTTAACTTTGTTGATTAGTTTTAATAAACAACCACTGTATTCCATGATGGTCAGCCCACAATACGGTTTTGGCATGGTACATGACCAACAGAAAGGAGGGAGAAATATGAGTAGAAGGTAAAGCACAGTTAGATGATATTCTGATTCCAGCTCCCCTATGTAGGAGTACTGTGGTCTTACGAAAGCCAGTGAAGTTCTCTGTGCCTACACTTTCTACTTTATTAAGTGGCAACCACACCACTCTGCCTTTTTATTTATTTTTATTAGTACATGTCTCCAGCACACAATGTGTACACTCCTTGTGTGGAGCTTGTACATGTACATAACACATCTTCACCTTTTTTTCCCACCCCCTTCCCTCTCCTCGCTCCATATCATGATCCCCTTCCTCTTTGAGAAAGATCTATCTCCCTACTTCCTGTTAGCTATCTTTCACTTCGATCTTTATTTTGACTCTTGGGTTTCTCAAAAGAGAAGCCATGTGACTATTAAGCTTTTGTGTCTGGTTTATTCCATTTAACATTATGCTTTCAAGGGGCATCCATTTTCCTACAAATGATTCAAGCTTATCTTTCTTTATGGCAGATTAGTACTCTCTGCTGTATAAACACTACATTTTCTTTATCCTCTCACATGGTGGACAGAGAGGCCCCTTCAAAGACTTAGCTTTTATCATTCTGCTTTTCTAAACTCATGGGAACTTTATATATA